AATCAGGAGGTGGCAAAGTTTTTACGGCTGGGTTTTACAGAGGGTTTCAGGATTCCGTTTCAAGAAAGGGCTGCGGGTGGGTTATGTAAAAACCTTCGGTCAGTGGGGGAACATCCGAGCATAGCTCGGGAAAAGTTATGTAAGGAAGTGCAATTAGGGAGGATGGCGGGACCATTCGCTTCCCCGCCGTTGGTTGGTTTGCGGGTGTCTCCACTTGGGGTAGTCCCCAAGAAGGAGGCGGGTAAATTTCGTATGATCCATCATTTATCGTACCCACAAGGTACATCGGTTAATGATGATATCGACGAGGCCCTGTGTTCTGTTTCCTACACATCATTTGACAAGGCTGTCGAGTTGGTTAGGAGAGCGGGACAAGGGGCTCTAATGGCGAAATTGGATGTGGAGGCAGCTTTCCGGCTGCTTCCCATACACCCGGATTGTCATCACTTATTGGGGTGCTATTTCGATGGGGGGTATTTTGTGGACTTATGCTTGCCTATGGGTTGTGCCATCTCGTGTGCTTACTTCGAGAGGTTTAGCACCTTTTTGGAGTGGGTCGTACGACGGGAATCGGCTGGGGGTGCTGTGGTGCACTACCTTGACGATTTCTTATGCGTTGGCCCACCACGCACGGAGCGCTGTAGCCAGGTGTTGAGGACCTTCCAGTGGGTGGCGCACACATTTGGGGTGCCGTTAGCAGAGGACAAAACGGTGGGGCCCACTACGTGCCTCAGCTTCCTGGGTTTGGAGATCGACTCGGTACGGAGGGAGTGCAGGTTGCCCGGGGACAAATTACATGCCCTTCAGCGGCTAGTGGACACGGTTGGTAGGGCGAGGAAGGTCACCTTGCGTGAACTTCAATCGTTGATAGGGAGCCTGAATTTTGCGTGCCGAGTGATCCCTATGGGGAGGGTCTTTTGCAGACGATTGGCGCGGGCGACAAGCGGGGTGAGAAAACCGTCGCATTATATTAGGGTGTCAGTGGACATGAGAGAGGACTTGGAGGTATGGGCTAGGTTTTTGAGGGAGTTTAACGGGAAAGTGTTTTTTCGGGAGCCGTTGGGAACCTCCACGGCCGTGGGTTTGTTTACGGATGCATCAGGCAGCATCGGTTTTGGGGCGTACCTAGCGGGTAAATGGTGCGCGGAGGGGTGGCCGGAGGCATGGAAAGCGAGCCCCTTGATTAGGAACTTGGCCTTTTTGGAGTTTTTCCCGGTTGTTGTGGCAGTGGCGTTATGGGGTCCGGAGTTAGCCAATAAGAGGGTGGTGTTCAATTCGGATAACATGGCAGTGGTGCAGGCTATCAACGGATTATCGGCTTCTTCATGGCCAGTGGTACGGTTGTTGAGGCAATTGGTTCTCTTGTGCATGTCTTTTAATATTGTGTTTCGCGCTCGGCATATACCGGGGCTTACCAATGTTGTCGCTGACGCGCTGTCTCGCCTACAGTGGGAGCGTTTTCGGGAGGCGGCGCCGGAGGCGGAAAAGAGGGTCAAGCCTGTCCGGCGGAGATGTGGGAGCTCGGGACGTCTTGCTTGGGGAGTACATAAAGAAGTCTCTGGCGCCTGGAACTTGGTTCTCCTATGTTAAGGTCTGGCAAGTGTGGGAAGACACGATGCAGCAGGTAGGGGTGATGGGCCCTGGGAGCAATCGGCTGGACATACTGTTATGGATCCTATGCCGGTTGTTCGCAAAGCAAGCGTCGCCATCAATGGTTGATAGGTACATGTCAGCGTTGGCGTTTTTGTTTAAGTTTAATGGATGGGAGGATGTGACGAAGCATTTTATAGTGAGGCAAGCGGTTCGGGGATACAGGAAAGGTAAGAAGACGAAGGATACGAGAAGACCAGTCTCCTTCACAGTGTTACAGGGGTTAGTGAACAAACTACCTGAGATATGTTTTTCTGTGTTTGAAGTGGCGTTATTTACAGTGGCTTTTTCGTGGGCCTTTTTTGGGGCGTTTCGGATTGGTGAGTTGCTTAGTGCCAACAAGAAAGGGGTTGGTGGGCTTAGGTTGGAAGATGTGACGGTTAGTAGGGACAGGGTGTTGATCCACCTGATTCAATCAAAGACGGATGTATTTGGTAAAGGTTCCATGGTCACGTTGTTTGGTTTACCAGGGTCGGGGTTGTGTCCGGTGGCAAGTGGGGCCGGGTTTTTGGAACTACGCCCGATAGGGAGCGGTTGTTTCTTCATACATGCCGACGGCACGGCACTGTCGCGCTTCCAATTTGTGCGGGTTTTCCGTTTGGGATTACAGAAGTTGGGTCTGGAGCCCATGCAGTTTGGAACACATTCATTCCGAATAGGCGCGGCGACAGAAGCGGCTCGCTTGGGTTTAGGGGATGAGCGGATTAGACGAATTGGGAGATGGGAATCTCTCAGGTTTCGCTCTTATGTACGGCCAGATAGGCTGGTGTGAAGGGGTGGTTGATTGTGGGTGTTTGGGATGTGCTGGTGATGTTTCCTCAATGTTATGTTTTATTTTAGGTTGGACGGTGTGGATAATTGGCCATTCGTATATCCATTGGGCAAGGAGGAGGGCCGCAGTTAGAAGACATGGAACACAGCTGGGCTTTCCTGAGGATCGGGTGGCGTTATTCTGGTTCGGTTATCGGGGGTTTGACTGGCAGCACATTATTACGGTATTGTTTCGGAAGGTAGCGGAGGAGCCCTTGCCGAACGTGGTGGTAATTCACGGGGGGGGAAACGACTTGGGTCTGGTCCCCCAACGTGAACTGGTTAAGTGTATGAAGCAGGACGTTGACAGACTAAGGGGGCTTGTCCCTGGCGTGAAAGTGGTATGGTCGGAGATGGTACCTCGTTTATGCTGGAGATACGCCAGGGATGAGAAGGCAGTTTCTCGATGTCGGGGTAAAGTGAACAGGACCATGGCGGTGTTCATTCGAAGGTTAGGAGGCGTGGTGGTGAGGCATCGGGAGTTGGAGGAGAGATTACCGGGTTACTTTCGTGATGACGGGGTGCACTTATCGGATGTTGGTTATGACCTTTTTAATTTAGGTTTGCAAGACGGGATAGCGCAAGCCCTGTTTTTGTGTGGTGGGGGTCGCACATGTCCTTAAGGGGTCAAGGCAAGTGCTGTGGCGGAAAAGGTCTTGGTTAAACTGGAATTTTGGTGGGTTAAGAAATTGGTAGGCCAAGGTCTAGGCTGGAGTAGGCCGGAAGTCAAAAGTATGGAGGTAGGTTCGAGCCCGTCGGTGGCTACGAACCAAGGGGTGTAGGGGTGTCTGGGTACACCCCTGCAGTTAGACAAATGGAGGTGGGGCCTCTTGGTAGGCCGTTGAGTTACGTGTATGTATTATTGGTTATGCTAATGTTTGTTTTGGTAGGGTCATTGTCGGGGGTATGATATAGGAAGAGAGCCTAACGAAGGAGTACTGTTGACAATGACCCTAAATTGTTAATTTATATATTGATATTAATTAATAAAGCTGTGGACTTTATACTCCAACAGAATTTTCGGTGTCTGCGTGTTATTAAAGTATGGTTGGCACATGCCGAATAACGACTGTGCAATAATGTCATGAAACCACGGAGCAACGCAGGGAGGAGTGGGCCTTGACAGAGCCAGGAGTAGGCAGGGTGAAGTTCAGGTCAAGAGGCTGTCCTGTGATTGTGCTGGGGGGCGTGGGTTAGAAGGGAAGTTTAAATAGCGGCCATTTTAGGGTAAGTTCATTCTAACTTGAGCCTTTCTTACCTGTAAATTGTCCCTCCCACCCACCCTATGAGTTAGTAGTAGTTCCCGTTTGGTCACAGCGGCGGGAAAAGGTCTTGGTTAAACTGGAATTTTGGTGGGTTAAGAAATTGGTAGGCCAAGGTCTAGGCTGGAGTAGGCCGGAAGTCAAAAGTATGGAGGTAGGTTCGAGCCCGTCGGTGGCTACGAACCAAGGGGTGTAGGGGTGTCTGGGTACACCCCTGCAGTTAGACAAATGGAGGTGGGGCCTCTTGGTAGGCCGTTGAGTTACGTGTATGTATTATTGGTTATGCTAATGTTTGTTTTGGTAGGGTCATTGTCGGGGGTATGATATAGGAAGAGAGCCTAACGAAGGAGTACTGTTGACAATGACCCTAAATTGTTAATTTATATATTGATATTAATTAATAAAGCTGTGGACTTTATACTCCAACAGAATTTTCGGTGTCTGCGTGTTATTAAAGTATGGTTGGCACATGCCGAATAACGACTGTGCAATAATGTCATGTCACTATGCCGCACATTTACAGTGGATTGCAATACTTTCAAGCCAATGTCACTGTGTCACACATTTATAGTCCACTGCAATACTTTCAAGCCAATGAGGCAGCTGCAGTCATTGCAAGCACTTCTATCACTGCTGTGTTTGATAATACATGGGTATTTCTACAGCTTTCTACAAACAGAAGGAAACAGAAGGTTAGTGAGGAGCTAAATGCTAAAGGTTTTAGCTGCAGAAATGATGCTGGTTTTTTTTTTTTTCAAATTTTTTTTTTTGCGGTGCATAAGTGTATTACAGACAGGCAAGAGGTGCCCCAAAAGCAGTCCTCCAGCATTTCCCACGCACAACATGCGGGGCACAGGATAAACAAGCACTTTTTTATTTTAATAACAAGTGAAAACAATCTATTGTATAAGTAGATTTAGGATAAATTTAAGCTGGGTCAATGCGTTGATTATGCTATGGACGTTTCATGTAATGCTGATGCATACCATCTATTATGGAGATAGGCTATGGCGTTTAGATTACATGCATTGGCTAGCATAAGTAGTGAGCTTTATGTTTCAAAATAAAATTTTAATCGTGTCTGTCAATCGCTTTGGAAATTTAGTCACCCTTGGTGGCTGGATTATTTAAGCTGTCCCAGTGAGAATGTGTTGTTGCGATGTCGGTCCCAGGATCACACACGTAGGGGGGAATCCCCTCTCTATCCCACACCAGTTCTGAGTATTCTGCACAGCAGGGGGCGAGTGATCAGCAGGGCAAGCATCAGGAAATAGTCCATCACTGCTGTACCTTGGTGTCCTCGCCTTGGTCTCCCAGGCTGCAGCCTCGGTATATTGTACTTGCCTCTGGTATTTCTTGCATGGTTGGTTTCAACCCTGATGGAGCGCTTGGTGTCTCCCACATGTGTTCTTTGCCCCCTAGGTCATCCAGGTTTGGGCAGGGTGGGGGGTGAGCACTGGGTCGGCTTTCTGTGCTGTGTACCAGGCTCGGGTTTCTCAGATGGGGGCGAACGCCGTGCGGCGCTCCAGCTCCTCGCAGCAGCCGCCATCTTTTGAGCTTGTGAGTCACTTGGGCAACTTGACGCTGTCTTGGGCTGTGGGTGGGTGTTTCTCCGCCTTTCGGTGTTGCAAGGTTGGAGGACAGGAGCTGCTTTGCCGTCTGTGTTCGCGGGGAGGGAGCAGGTCGACCTCCCGCCTCCTGCGCACATGGCGCCCGCCATCTTGAGTACCATCGGGTGAGGACCGTGATCACCCCCCCGGTCCATAGGGAGGGGAACAGGGCCGGGTCCATCTGGATTCGTGCCCCTGGACGGGGTCCGGGATGCAGGGTAGCGGGACGGCGGCCGTCCGCCCCACTCACTGCCGGAGTAGGCCTCATGTTTCATTCGAGATTTTCTCCTCCAGGGGACTGAAGCTCAGTGAGCCAGCCTCTCCCTGGATCCAGTAGCCCCTTTGTTCCAGGCAACCTCGCTGACGGTCAGTTTTAACGCGAAAAATCGTGTTTTTGTTAGGTTTCATTGGTTTAATCGCAGGAGCTGCTCTTACTTACGACCGTCCATCTTGGCGGTCCGGCCCCGCCACCCATGCTGGTTTTTTTTTAATGGACAACTTAGACTGTGCAGCTTAAAGGACCACTATAGGCACCCAGACCGGGTGCCAGGTCCAGCTAGAGTTAACCCTTTTTTCTATAAACATAGCAGTTTCAGAGAAACCGCTATGTTTATATTAGGGTTAATCCAGCCTCTAGTGGCTGTCTCATTGACAGCCACTAGAGGTCTTCCGCGTTTCTGAGAAGACGCCAGCGTTCATAGGAAAGCATTACGAGTATGTTTTCCTGGCACTATAGTGGTCCTTTAAAGGAACACTATAGGCACCCAGACCGCTTTATGTCATTGAGGTGGTCTGGGTGCAGTGTCCCTGTTCCTTTAACCCTGCAATACAAACCATTGCAGTTTCAGAGAAATAACAATGTTTACATTGCAGTACTAAGACTGCCTCTACTAGCTGTCTACCAGACAGTCACTAGAGGCGCTTCCTGGAGTTTCACAGAGTTTAACTCCATGAGACGACGCTGCAAGTCCTCACGATTTGTATCTTTGTAAGAGGATATCCAGTGTCTTAAACTACTCATAGGAAAAAAAACTGAATCAATGCTTCAGGACTAATGCACCGGTGATGCTCGCTTTGCATGCACACTAGGTTCCCCCTCGACACTGGCGTTGGAGCAGGCAGAGATGGAACCAGTGCTGAGGGACTTTGGTGCTGGAATCAGGAAGTATTTAAAGGGAGGCGGAGAGACACTATACTGTTAAGAATACAGTTTTGTATTCCTAACACTATAGTGTGCCTTTAGAGGGAAATTTCACTTCTCTGGAAATTACGTAATTGAAAAAACATTCAAATTCACCTAGAAATTTGCCTTTTTTTGAGTTTCTTCATTTTTTTTTTTTACAATTAATATCACACTCCAGTTCAGTTCTGGCAGAGACAGGCACACATTGTGTTGAAGGAGGAGAAGTAGATACCTCTGTTATATACTTGTACATCGAGGTTTGACATCATTTTCAGGTAACATTTTGGATTAAACACGTTACCTGTAAATTACCGCCCTTCAACAGTAGTGGTGGTTTCTAATTTCCCAGCCTGAAATTGGACATTACATTATAAATAATTGGAATGTTGATATCTGTCAGTGACGAAGAACCAAATCTAACTGGCTTTAAGTATCCCAAGGTCTCTTAAATAAAAATAGTTGACTTAAATATCTGCAGAAATTATCTGCACATTAGGAATTAAGCCCAGTGTCCTTATCAACAAGGTCACCTCTCAGGCACATTGGATCTGGCTGCATAACCTTTCTCATTAGTGCTATAAAAATATCAGCCTCTACTAAGTTTTTGATCATTTATCATGAGATGTTCAACTGGAAAATTCTGTCAAATTGCTACAACAATGCACCCAGTGTACCTATTGTGGTTCTTTCTTATTGGAGCTACTGAGCTGATCCCGGTAAGTGGAAGACTTTAGTCACAATAAGGGTTCCTCCATTCTCTCTGTACCTGACAATTGTGAACATGTTTTCAAACAGACCTTGGTCAATTGGATTTCACACTGATAGAAATGAGAGCCCATTGTCAGCCCTAACTATATCTTTACTTATGTGCTGTTTAATGGGTCTGGGTCTGCTACTTTGTAGCACATGGCAAGGGGGAAGTCCAGTCTTCATGACCAATTGTCGTTAGACAACACAAGTTGACAAGGGATTCTGGAAAAGGTAGTCCTTGCATAGATGGAGGGTCTTGAGGGGTTAGTGAAAGGATTAAGCAAGCTCATCCAGGATCAAACATTAATAAGGTGAAGTCGGAAGACTAATTAACACTGGTCATCATATCAGGCCTTCCAAAGACTTTATTAATAATGACTTCTTCTCATTGTCATACCTGGCACAAGGGAGAAGTAATATCAATGCTTCTTTTTGGCATAGATCTGACCCTGTAACATTTTAGTGTTTAATACTACCTAGCGCCATTGCAGTGCTAATTGTAATGGTAAAAATATCTCAATTTGAATGGTTTTTTTTGAATTTTTACACTGATTTTAGTTACATAATATTCCATTGTCTCATCATTGTACATCTGCTGTCCTCAGTATTGGCTGCAAGATAAGAAATGCACTTTAATGTTACTTTATTAAGATTTAATCCTTTGAGGTCTATTCTCTAAACAACGGAGAATTGGAAATACTGAGCCACAATAGATCATGACAATGATATAAAACTAGGTAAGAGTGAAATTACCTCCAATTCCTGTCTGTTTTGGCCTAAAATATTTCCTGTTCTCCACCTTTCTCACTATAGTGAATAAAACCACTGAATAATCTTGCATCTAAATCTTTTAAAGGAAACGGCAAATTGCCAAAGGGAGAAAAAATGTCTAATTACAAGCTGTTTGGGTGTGTATGAGTTGAAACAAGTCTAACTTGGTATACGAAATTTAAATTACCTCTTATCTACCACTCAAACAATATCCTCCCCTCAATCTGTATTCGGGGTCACTGCAGACTAGATGGTATATTGCCGGTGGCTTAAGATAAAAAGATCCATTAAAATTAAGACTAACAGATAATATGTTGCTTACCCTTAAAAAATCAAGTTCTTGCAAAAGTCTTTATTCTTTTGTTTAAAATCTTTATATACAAGAAGGCATTAATTAATTCATTTAAAAACTAGAAAAGAGGCATTCATGAATGGTTAACTCATATTTCAAATAAATACCGTATATACTCGAGTATAAGCCGAGTTTTTCGGCACATTTTTTGTGCTGAAAAACCCCAACTCGGCTTATACTTGAGTCACTGTCTGTATTATGGCAACTTACATTGCCATAATACAGACTGGGGGCTGGCAGAGCTGTTACTTACCTCTCCTGCAGCTCCTGTCAGCTCTCTCCTTCTCCGCGCCGGTCCGGTCAGCACCTCGGTCAGCTCCCAGTGTAAGTCTCGCGAGAGCCGCGGGGTCATAGTGCGGCTCTCGCGAGACTTACAGTGTGAGCTGAGAGAGGAGCTGCACGGACCGGCGCAGGGGAGGAGAGAGCTTGCAGTAGAGGTAAGTAACAGCTCTGCCAGCCCCCCTCTTCCCCCACTGAACTGCCAATGCCACTGGACCACCAGGGAAGGAGAGCCCCCCTCCCTGCCATGTATCAAGCAGGGAGGGGGGACAACAAAATAAATAAAATAATAATACATAAATAATAATAAAAAAAATAATAAAAATAATAATAAAAAAATTATTAAAAAAATAATAATATAACAAAAACAAAAAAAATAATAATAACATTTTTTTTTTATAAAAATGCCCACCCCCCCACCAAGGCTCTGCAACACACACACACACACACTGCACTCACACACACACTGCATTCATACACACACACTGCATCACACACACACACTGCATTCATACACACACTGCACTCATACACAAACACTGCATTCATACACACACACTGCATCACACACACACACTGCATTCATACACACACACTGCATTCATACACACACTGCACTCATACACAAACACTGCATCACACACACACACACACACACTGCATTCATTCACACACTGCACTCGTACACAAACACTGCATTCATACACACACTGCATTCATACACACACTGCGCATTCATACACACACACTGCACTTATGCACACACTGCATTCATACACACACTGCATTCATACACACACACTGCATTCATCATATACACACTGTAAATAAATATTCAATTAATATAATTTTTTTTAGGATCTAATTTTATTTAGAAATTTACCAGTAGCTGCTGCATTTCCCACCCTAGTCTTATACTCGAGTCAATACGTTTTCCCAGTTTTTTGGGGTAAAATTAGGGGCCTCGGCTTATATTCGGGTCGGCTTATACTCGAGTATATACGGTAATACACAATGTTTATTCACCAAACTGGGAACTCTGGAGAACTGACAAAGAAAGTGAAACGTTTGGCCAAAATCGCTGTAATGGAAAAAGTTAGAAAATATTTAACACAATTCTTTTGTCTTAATATGTTTTAAATTAACATTCCCTTTTCAGTTGTCCATCATCCCTGATTTAATACATAAATATGCAACTAACTTAACATCTCATGGTTCATGTATTCACATTTTTAATAAGAAAATTAACATATTCTTGTGTAACAGAGAATACACTAATTTTAATCTACACTAACTGAGTATTTCATGTTTAAAAAAAAATATGCATATGCAAACTTAAAAAGTTATTTTATAAGTTTACGTTTCTCAGCAAAAGACAAGCTGCAATGATGGCGGTTGTTAGAAATAGTTTGAAAGAGACAGACTCAACCTGTACATAGATACAACTTTTTATCAATATATTTGCTGGTAATTTTTCCAATACAGTACTATGTATAGATATCTATACCTACTAGAATGCCTTAAAGTAGCACGCCAAACATGGCAGCATTGTTACAAATGTATACTTCCTGCTTGAAATATTTCAGACAGCAATTTGATTGGATTTAGTGAGGCAGTACTGTGCACACATGTATTTAGTGTTTGTAACAAATTTGTTTGAAAAAATGCTTTGCCTCTTGAACGTTTCCCCTGTGCCTATGATTAAGGCCAACTCACGCTTGCAGGACTTCTCGCGGGCGGCTCCCTTCCTATGGAAAAGCCTGCCTACCGCCATCTGACTCTCCCCTAGTTTTAAAACCCATCTCTTTAGGAAAGGTTATGGCCTCACAGAGTAACCTGTACCTTACATACCTGTCCCGTGCTCTCTCCTAAAGGGCAGCGCCTTGCTCTCTCCTCCAGCTCTGCTTCACTCCCACCTTATTTGATTGATATT